TTTTACCCTAGGTGAAAATATTACTAGTTATAGCCCTTGTTGTCCCCTGGGCAGATTTGGAACAAGAATTAAAAGATGTGAATTCATTTGCAGTCTAGTGGGAGAGAGAAGATGTAGTTAAATCACTATAACAGAGTCATAGGATTCATTGCTATAATGGGACTTTAGAGGTCATCTAGTGTAATCTCTTCATTTGACAGCTAAAGTGAAAAGGAAGTCCAGAGCTGTGATAACTTGTTCAGCATGGGGTCAGGCTGTGATTCAAACCCAGGTCTTCTTGTTCCCAATACTTTCAGAGGAAGAAGATGTCACTCCCAGCTAGGGATCCACATCATGTAAAACTCCATGGAACAGTTCATATTTTACCTGGGCCCTGAAGGGTTGGTAAGATTTTAACAAATAGGATTGGTAGGATTTTTAACAAAAAAAAAAAATAAAAAAAATTGCAGGGCCAAGGCCCTGCAGGCAGAGGGAACAGTATTAGCAAAGATGCGGAGGAAGGAGAGTTAAAGAATCTCTAAGTTGTCCATTTTGTATGAATGCTAAAAGTCCATTGACTTATAAAGGAAATAAATGTATTATCTTCCCCCATTTAGAGTATGACTGCTTGGAAGCAGGGACTGTCTTGATTTTCTGTTTGTTTCCCCGGTGCTTGGCATATAGTGAGTGTTTAAAAAATGCTTTGTTATTTGTTCATTTATTCATGTACAGACAGTTCTTGCTTTTTATAAGTTCTTTAGACCTCTATGGAAAGCAATTTTAAAAAGTAATTTGATATTTTATTTTTTCCTTAATTATATGCAAAAACAATTTTTAATATTTGTTTTTTGAATTTTTTGAGTTCCAAATTCTCTCCCTCCCTCCCCGATTGAGAAGACAAGCAATTTGATATAGATTATACATGTGCAGTCATGTAAAACATATTTCTATGTTAGTCATGTTGTGAAAGAAAACACAGACAAAAAAGCCCCAAGAAAAATAAAGAAAGTAAAGAAAAAATATGCTTCGATCTGCATTCAGCCTCCATCAGTTCTTTCTCTGGAGATGGATAGCATTTCTCATCATAAGTCCTTCAGAATTGTCTTGGATCATTGTATTGCTGAGAATAGCTAAGTCATTCACAGTTGATCACCATACCATATTAGTTCTTCTCATCTCACTTTGCTTCAGTTCATGTAAGTCTGTCCAGCTTTTTTTGAGAGCATCCTGCTTGTCATTTCTTACAGCATAACAGCCATCACAATCATGTACAACAGGTTGGTCAGCCATTCCCCAATTGATGGATAGCCCCTCAATTTCCAATTCTTTGCCATCACCAAAAAAGCTGCTGTAAATATTTTTGTACATATATAGGTCCTTTTCCTTTTTGTTTTTGATCTCTTTGAAATACAGACCTAGTAGTGGTATTGCTTGATCAAAGGGTACGGAAGGTTTTATAGCCATTTGGGTATAGTAGAAAGTAATTTTTAAGTAATACAAATTTGCCCATGGATGTGGGGAAGGAGGAGGGGGAAGGAGGCAGGAAGGAAGCCATGTGCCAGGAGAGGGAGGGAGCCATTGTAGGGCCTATGGACAGACAATCCAGAGCAGGAGGAGGAACATGAGGCCAGCTAGGTGGGAGCCTGGTCAGAACCAAAAAGAAGGAGGAAAGGAGGAGAGGCACACACAGGGGGAGCCAGGCACAGACACAGACACGGGGGGGGTTGGGGGGGGGGGGGAGTGGAGAGGGGCAGATGTGGATGGGTTCCCAGAGCCCAGCAAAGGTCTCCTCTCTCCACAGGGGAGATCTCAAGCCAAGCCCCCATTAGGCAGCTGAAGTGGTGGTCTCTCTAGGCTTCCATTCTTCTCCTTCACTTGGAGTTTTTTTTTTTTTTTTGAATGCAGATTTCTAAATTTGCATAATGTGGATTTACATAAAACAAGAACTTTCTATATTGGTTTTGAGGTCAGGGGACTGTGAAGCCAAATTTTGAAAGGGTCATTGACTTGGATTTTGAAATAACTGAGAATGAGTCAGATTTCCTTCTTTTTAGGGTCATAACTTTATAGCTGGAAGAACCTTATAGGTTATTTAATCTTTCCCTTCTCCCCAAATTGTACAAATGAGGAAGCAGTCTCAGAGAGTTTTAAGTGATTCACTACCAGTTACATGGGTAACAAAGTAGCAGAACCAGAATTTGAACGCAGGTTTTCTGGCTGCACTTTAAATGCTCTTTCCTCTACACCTGGATGTCCCTGTATAACTAGTATCAATTTTTATCTTTACCTTATACGTCTTTACCTTCAAGTGATTGAGAAAGTGACTTTGGAGGGTTTAATTCAATTCAACAAAAATTTAAGTGCTTTCTGTGTACAAGGAATAATCACTTGAATTATATTTAAGCTCAGGTTTAAGTATAAGTTGAACACTATCTGAATACTAGTCAAGCTTCTCAGCTCTACCTTTGTAACTCTCAAAGTGTGGTCTAGCCATAGGGAGTGACCTGCCAGCCCCTTTCATGGGGTCCAGGGCTAAGAAAGAAAGCGAAGGCAGGATCTTGTGCTACCTAGTGTGAGCTCCCTAAGCCAGAACAGGGGAAAAGGAGGATGAAAAGGAACTGTTTAATGTGAGTGACTTTACTAGCTAGCTGCTTAAGAACATTGGTGAAGCTCTAGTCTTCTGCCTTTCACAACTCCTTTTTCTTACAGCAAAAACTCTTAGCTTTTTTGCTATTATTTTTGACTCCACTGGTTGAGATTAAAAAAAAATTGCCGTAACACAAACCACCTCCATGTTTAGCTTTTTAAATTTCAGGCATCCAGGAAGCTGTTAGCAGTTAGATTCCTTGACCAATTGTCTCAAGGTTTCATTACTTTTTAGAGAAAAACTAGCCTATGTGGCAGAGATCTTAGTAGTTAATTGTTCTTATCACAGAAGGCTAATATAGTGGAGGAAGTGACATTTGAATGAACTTTTAAAAATAGATAGAAATTCACTGGGTGAAGAAGAAGGGAAAGGGCTTTCATTTCAGGCATAGGGAACAACTTAAGCAAGCAAGAGGGCACTGCCATGGGGGAATTTATTGCTTTTTGGTAACAAGTAGATAAGTTGGTAGTCCAGGCTTCTGTTATGCCCGTGTGGATTTATAAGCATTATAATTCTAGCAGATGTTATACAAATTCTGAGGTGCTCCCAGAGGGCAGCCATTAGAGGATCATATGCTTTATCAGTGGTCGCTCCACTAATAAATATACTAAAGAATTCTTTCACCAATGAATTCTTTAAAACCGTTCATTCGTCCTTCATACAACGAACATTTATCGAGCACTTTACCTGTATAGTGTACCCAGCTAAGCACTAGAGAAGTGTGAGTTCAGATAAGATACTGTCCCTGCTGTCACAGAACTTAGAGTCTAGCAGACAGAGAAGGCAGAAATGCATAGAACTATAACATATAATATGTGATATGTGTGTTAGAGAGTCACAAAACAAAGTGCTATGAGAGGTCTCAAGAAAGGTCATTCCTGCCTCTGATTTCACACAATGTTTATTGAATAAAATTATTCTATGTCTGTATATATTAGAGGTCCTTAATCTGGGGCAATGGGCCCAAAAGGGGTCTGTGGATAGATTTCAAGGTGTCGGTAAATTTAAAAAATATACTTTGATAATTGCATTTTAGTATCATTGCTTTTTATTGTAATTCTATGTATTTTATACATTTAAAAACATTATTCTGATATTTATAGGCTTCCCCAGATTGCCACAGGGGTCTATAACACAAAAAAGATGATTAAGAAACCCTGATGTAAATGATAAAGGAAAATATTATGACCAGGCCTGACTCATAACAGTCCAGAAGTTCAGGCTTGAGTTTGGAATAAAATGAGACATTCATAGACAAACATTTGACAAAAGTTGGTTTACTTAACAATAACATGGAAAGAATATTCAGCAAGCATACATCATTGATTCAGCTAGGCATAGCTCCCTTGCTTCTTCATTTGCCATGATGGTTTACCAGGTCAGAGGAATGTATCAAACCTAAATAGCCCCACCTCCTTGTGAGTTTGACTTTTTATGCTTTAGGCAACCAATAAATATGTTACCAGTTTGAGACCTGTATTCCTTGACTGATTAAGTTTCAAGGTTTCATAACCTTTTAGAGAAAAACCAGCCTATGAGGCAGAGATCTTAGTAGCTTTTCTACCTATCACAGAAGACCTGACATTTGAACTGGGCTTTAAAAAAAACAGAAATTCATTAGGTGAAGAAGGGGAAAGGGCATGCCAGGTGTAGGGAGCAACATAAGCAGGAAAGGGTATGTTCTTTTAGGGATCAAAGAGTAGTACCATTTATTGGAACATAAGAGAGAGTAATGAGGTAGGTTGGTGCCAGATAGTACTCAGAACCTTGAATGCTAGGAAACATACTTTGAATTTTCCTTTGGAGACAAAATGGAGTTAGTGAAGATTTTTGAATAGAAGAGTAGCATGATCAGACTAATGTATAAGAAACCTTATTTTGGCAAAACAAATTAGAGGGATGAGTTTGATATTCCTCCTCTAACTCTTATGATGACATCAATCTGTAGTCCAGTATGGAGCTTGGAGCAACTTATACCATGTTTCTTGGCCTTCTATTCTTTGCCACTTTCTATTTTCTATATTCTTTTCCATTTCTATACAAGTGAGACCAAAATTAGCTTCAGAGGTCAACTTTGAAGGAAGAAAAATGTCACAAAAGTATGGAGTGCTGACTTGGAGAATGGGAAAGGAATAGAAAAGGAAAGTGGCTGGTAATGAGGCTTGCAAATAAATGGTGTTGGTACCATTTCTGCAGTAGTTGTATGTATCTGAACCTTTACTCACTTGTAATATAAAGTGATAGTGGGTCACTTCTTTTTGCTTCCTTGAATCACTACCTATCATCAGAAGTTTAAGAGGAGAGTCAAGGGGGAGCAAAGCCAAAGAGGAAAAACTGTCTAAATAGCTGTCTGTCATATGTTGTGATCTTTCAGCGTCCTGACAGACTCTACAATCTTGGACAAATTCAAAATTCTCCATCCCAAGACTTCTTAGAAGAAAAACAACTTCTGTAGCAATTATACAGAGATTATGCACCTAGCAGGTAAGCATTTAAACTCATGGCATAAATCCTCAAGAATATGGACATAATATAGAGCAAAAGTGTTAAATATTGCTGCCTACAGCCTGAACCAGATTAAAATGCAATTGAGAAATATTTAACAAAATAAATAAAAATACAAGAGAACATAAATAATGTTAACATGTGGTTTTCTAAGTCAATATGTGGCCAGCAGGGATCCTTATTATGGTTTGGTGTCCTCCATTTCTATTAGAGTTTGACAGCATAGTCTGTCCAAAGAGTTGGAAATGATCATAGGATTTAGAGTTAGAAGGGACCTTAGAGTCTAGAGTAATGATTTTTTTAGGCAAAACTTGGTCTAACCACCTTTTGGGGGAGGAGAGGCTAAGTTGCTAAAGAGCCAGGCAGTTGTATTTCTTCCCAGATTAGGTAGAGACAAAAGCTATTGTGCAGTTGGAGTGGGAAGGGGGAACAGTCTTCTGTTGTAGCAGCAATTTTTAATTCTCTTTGGAGAAAGGAAGAGAGATCGTTGGAGAGAGAGAGTCAAGATGAGAGTGGTGATGGTAGTAGTACCTGGAAGATGCTTTCTAGGATACCTATTCAGCCTTGTACCATATTGAATCTTGTTTTTTCTCTTATTCCCTATTTGGCTTATTACATAAACCAACAAGGGATAAAAGAATTGTCTCCTCAGAGGAACCACTCAATTAATGATGAACCACTTTCTCCCTATTTCTCCTCTTTTTTGTTTTATTGCTGTCTACATATAGTCAGGGTGTATAGGGTGTTCAGGGAGGACCAGCACCTCTAGTGTGAGGGCTCGCTGAGCCTTTTCAACCCTGCTCATCCACCTTTGGTGTTTACCCATCACCCAGCTCTCACTCATGGCTCCAAGATGCTGCATGTGGAGCAGCCACACACCAGTAAAACCATCTCAGCAGATGGGCTAAACCAGGTTAAAGGGAACCAACAGGCCTCAAATACCTCAGTGAATTAGGGGGATGTCTACCCCCCCCCCCCAAGCACATAAAGACTTCCTCCAGCAGAATGGATGGATAAGAACAATTTGTTTCAACTACCATGAAGGTGGCTGAAGCCAAGGTCGTCCATTGCATCTTGGCCCATTGCCAGTCATCTTTTGTCCTACCACTGGACGTCAATGACTTTGGAAGAGGGGGTGAGGATGATGACTTTGCATAAACTCTGCCTCACTTAAATCCAATTCATGTACAAGTGAAGACAACACCTGTGATGTCATTGATTCTCTTTGAAAATGAAGGCTGAACAACAGCAACATAAAGTCAACAATGGTTACCATTAAGTGTTTCTTTGATTGTTTAAATTTCCTTACTGGATATTTGTATTTTAGTGATGGTTCTGGATAGATCTAGAATACTTTTTAGTGCATCCTGAGTTAGTATATTTGCTGTAGGGATTGTAGGTCAGGGAGGTGGGACAGGAAGTAGTGAATGATGTGCTTTGGATTAAACCAGCTAAGAGAATACCGTCCTAGCTTGGCACTCAACAAATTTCTTGATGGCTCAGAACATTTTATGAATTTTGTTAATTCTCTTATTTTAATCCTTCTAACTTTGCAGAAAAAGGAAGCCATAAGAAATCGAGACCTTTTGAACTTAAAGTAGGCATGTCACTCTTCAACTTTTGGTCTTCTCTAGCCCCCAGGTAAGAGAAAGGAAAGTCATTAGAAGAAGGAATTTTATAAAAAGGTCACACTTAGAGGTGGTCCCGATGGATGAACATTGGACAGTGAGGGAGAATCAGTTGCATCCAAAATCCAAAGAGAGGGAGGAAAGTGCTTCTCAGCCAAACTGCCCACCATCACTACATCCATTGGGCAACACCAGTCTAAATCTTTCAGTTTACATATGAAAAACAGAATCCTAGAGAGATCAGATGATTTTTCCCAGGTCACTTGGTAATGTGCAACAGAGAGGGCATTCAAAACCATGTCCTCCAACTCTAACTCTGACATTCTTCCCAACCTGTCCCTTTCTTCCAATGTAATTTCATCCAATTTAGCAGGCTAGCCTCTCCACAACATACTTTTGAAAAATGGTCATTTGTCCTCTGTTTTAAGGCCTATACTGATGGGGAACTAATTGCCTCCTGAAGCAAACCATCCTACTTTTTGACAGCTCTAATTGTTTGGAAGTTTTCCCTTCATATTGAACTGAAATTTGATTCAATTCCAACATGTTGCTCCTAGTTTTGCTCTCCAGGGCTAAGCAAAACAAGTTTAATCCTTCTTCCACATGACAGCCCTTCAGATACTTAAAGATAACTATCACATCCTCCCTAAGTCTTCCCTTCTTCAGGATAAATATCCCTAGTTCCTTCAACCAACATTTGTATATTATGGTTTCAGGCACCCTCACCATTCTGATTTAATCAATCAATTGATTAATCAGCATTAAGCACAATAGACTACAAAGAAGAAATTGAAACTGTCTCTCCTTCCAAGAAGGTAACATGTCTAATAACATTAACAAATTACTGCTGGACCTAAGTGTTTAGGGTACCGTACTCACTTCCTGTACCTAACAAGTACTTCTACTCTGGACCCATGCATGTGGTGTGGAGTAGGTTCACTTTGGGAGAAGCTTGGCCTCTAAAAAGAGTGGGGCTAGCTTTTCTTTTGTCACATTCTTTGGCTAATTATATTCCTCTTACCTTGGAGCCCCAGAGAAAAGTTATTTTAAGGCTTAGGTTCTTTTTGACTCATGTCTGTGTCTTTCCAAAGTGGGAATTAAAAAGCATTCATTATACAATATAAATCAGGTATGGGACAGATATTTTTTCATGCACAGAAAATAAATACTAATGGACATAAAATACTCATGACATGCAGTGAAAAATAGGATTCAGTAACAACATAACTACTGCTACAATCTGCTGAGAGGCTGATATCTAAACCTCATCAGAATAAAAAGTCAAGTCAACATGAACTTATTAAGTGCTTATAAGGCACTTAATGTCACTCTTCACCTTTACCACCAGAATAAACTGGAGATATAAAAAAGGCAAAAAGCCAAACCAAAACAAAAAACCCAAAACCCCTCCTTGTTTTCAAGGAGCTCACCGTCTAATGGGTGAGACCACATTGAAAAAAATTGTATATATACAAGATATATACAGGGTAAACTGAAGATTATTTCAGAGAGAAGAGGGTGCTAGCATTGAGAAGAACCAGAAAAGGCTCTTTGCAGAAGGTGGGATTTTAACTGAGCTTTAAAGGAAGCCTGGGAAGCCAAGAGGTGGAGATGGAAGAGAGAGAATTTCAGTCATGGGGAATAACCATTGAAAAAAGCATGGCATCAGGAGATAAGTGAGGCCATCCAGGAGGCCAATGTTTCTGGATCATAGAATACATGGAGAAGAGTAAAGTGTAAAAAGACTGGAAAGGTAGGAAGATACTAGGTTGTGGAAAGGCTTTTAAAGCCATGGGATTTTATATTTGTTCCTGAAGGAGCCATTAGAGTTTATTGAGTAAGGGAGTTTGTGATATGACCAATTCTGTGCTTTAGAAAGATCATGTTGTCAGCTTAGTGGAGAATGGATTGTAGTGGGGAGAGACATGAGGCAGGAAGGCAACCAGAAAACTTTTTCAGTGGTCCAGCAGAAATGTGCAGAAACCCTGTACCAGGGTGGTAGCAGTGTCAGAGTAGAGATGGGAGAGTACACCAGAGATACTGTGAAGGTGAGACATGGCAACATATTGCTCATGGACGGGTGAGAATGAGGAGTCACATATGACACTCAAGTTGCTAGCCTGGGTTGATGGAAAGATAGTGGTGTACTCAGCAGTAGATAGGAAAGTTGGGAAGAGGGGAGAGCTTGGAGGGAAAGATAAGGAATTCTATTTTGGACATGTTGAGTTTAAGTTGTCTGTGTCTTAAAATGTCATCCAGTTTAAGATGCCTAGTGGGCAGGTGGACAGAGATGCAAGACCTCTCAAACTCACAAGGTCACATCCAACCTTGTACATGTCCATCCAGGAATAGATACTAATTCACCTAAGATCAGGAAAGAACAAACAAAAAAGAGGCATCTCCAAACTGAGGCTTAGGTTCTTCTAGGCACATTATGTCCTTTATCTGCCATTTATTCACAGCTGCATGGTAGCTGAGGTGTAGGACAGAGGTAGTACCCCTACCTTACCTGTTGACGAAAGCAACTTCGTATCCTAGGTATATGAAGGTGGAACAGACAAAGAGTGCTGAGAGTGGGGTCACTCCAGTAGTGTGCTAGTAAATGTAACAATTGGGCTCTCAAAAAAAAGAAAAAGAAGAAAGAAAAAAAAAAAGGATACACATACTTTTAAGTTTGATCTGCATTATTAACACTTTCTTAAGTCTAGATAATCAACAAAACAATAAATCAAGCCCTGATTTGTAGTAAAGTGTGAATGCTCACATCGAAACTTTAACAGTGGGCTCAATTGGCTCCAGCTCATCCCTGGGTCACTTTCACTGAGTCATCAGCTCTTTCTGTTCAACAACCAATAAGAGGACTGCCTCCAAACACAAAGCCCTTTCCCCACTGATTTACCTTAGGGCTAGAAGCAACCAGAAAGTTTGTCATTCCCAAAGGACAGAAGCACTGAATCACCCTATCTCTGGAGTCCCGGAAAGTTTCTAGTGGACTTCTAGGCACATACACACTTTTTGGGATGGCCCCTGTAAGTCATATAAATAGGCATATGCAAAATAGACACAAAAAAGATGAAAGTTTTTTTTTTTTGTGGGGAAATATTACCAGCTGAGGGATCAGGAAAAGCCTCATGTTCAAGGTATTTACTTGAGCTGAAATTTGAAAGAGACTACTGACCTTAGGAAGTAGAGGTCCAGAGCTGGTACATTCTGAGCATGGAGGACAGCAAGTGCAAAGGTACGAGACAGTGTTGTGTATAAGTTCAGTAAGAAGACCAATTTGATTAGATCATAGAATGAATTGTGATAGGACTAATACCTAGCAAGATTTCCTTTGTCTTCCCCTTATGTGCCCCATAATATGGTTCAGGTTAGTTTTCATGCCCCTTATCACTTACTGTTGTTGTCATGGGTTAGTTTTCCCTAAAAAGTAACAAACGTGTCCCTAGGACCTAATTGCCTCTCTTGACACAGCTCCCTGCTAGCCTCTGGCCATATTGACATGGCTTTCTGGTCACCAAAGGAATAAAAGTGCCAAGCTCAAGGAGTCTAGGCCTCTCAGACATGGTAGAAGCCCTGACACCATAGGAGTCACCATACCCTATCATGCTGACCAGATAGGTTTCTATAAGCAGGAAGATATGTCTACCAAAGTTGAAGCTAAGTGCAATGACCTCATGTCATCCAGTATGGAACCTAGACTAATACGGTGCCAGGATGAGGCCTACCCCTAATATGTGTGAAGGGAAGAAATGTATATTAGAGCCAGAAAGGTAGTTTGGGACAGTTTATGAAGAGTTTTAAATGCAAAACAAAGGAATTTATATTTGATCCAGAGATAATAAAAAATTCCTAAAATTTTTTGAGAAACGAATTCCAATGTTGGCCATACACTTTAGGAACATCACTTTGGTAGGTGTGGGGAAGATGGATTAGAGCAGAGAGACTTGAATCAGGGAGGCTGTTGCAGTAGTTCAGTCTAGAGCTGGTTGCCTTCTGGGTATGTCACAATTTGTCAATATCCTTCCTAAAGTATAGTATCCAAGACTGAACACAGGTATTTTAGATGCAGTCTGAGTAGGGTAGAGTGAAGCAGGACTCTCACCTCTGTTCTGGGAACGTGGCTTGTCTTAATGTAGCCTAAGATTGTATTCGCTTTTTTGATTGCCATTTCACTTTGTTGACTTCTATTGAACTTGTCCATAAAATCCCCCAGGTCTTCTTCTCATGAGCCATCATCCAGCCATGTGTTCCCATCCTATATATAAATGAGTCCTTCAGTCCAATTCTAAGACTTTACATTTATCCTTATTGAATTTTGTCTTATTAGATTTGTCCCATCATACTAGCGTACTGAGATATTTTTGGACCATGATTCTGTTATCCCACAAAGCAGTTATCTTTCCTAGTGTCATGTTATATGAAAAATTGATAATCATAACATTTATGCTTTCATCTAAACCATCTATAAAAATATTGAAAAGAACAGAGCAATGTGGAACATCACTTTGTGAGTTCTTTTCCATTTGTCTCTGATTGTTCAACCAATTTTGAATATACTTAACTGTACTCTACAGTTCATCTCATTCCATGTTGTCATAAAGGTATTGGGAGAGATTTTCAAATGCTTTGCCAAATTACAAGTATGCTATACCAATGATATCATCTTTATTTACCAGTCTAATAAACCTGTCTAAAGAAGAAATGAAGTTGGTCTTGATAACTTATTCTTGATGAACCCATGAGAACTCTTAGTGGTAACTGCGTCTCTTTCTAGGTGCTCACAAACCCTCCTGCTCTGGACCAGAGCTTCTTAAACTTTTTCCACTTGTGACCCCTTCAGTGCTTCTTAAATAGTTTAAGAAGTGCTGCTCTAGACTTTTATTAGGAGGTGAAGCATATTAGGCTCTTGTTTGAAGGACTGGTCTTTTTAGAAATTGAGTGAGAAAAATTTTTGGCATCAAAAATCAACAAAAGTTTGATATCCAAGATTTATAGGGAATTAG